GGAGAGAGAGGAGAGGAGAGAGAGGGAGAGGAGAGAGAGGAGGGGAGAGAGAGGAGAGGAGAGGAGAGAGGAGAGGAGGGGAGAGAGAGGAAGGACTTTATTCCACTTAAGTATCCTAATAAATGCACTGAATCCTGTCAATAATTGACTGAACGTTAGTACTTCCACAACACGCGCAATTCATTAAGTTGCTAATAGAATGAGACGAAGCCGGTCTGTGCAGGTCTTCGCGACAAGACCTTCCGTCACCGAAGGCTCTACGTTGAAGTGTGTTGTAGCGTATGGCGAATGAGGAAATGCAGTAAGAGCCAAGAGCGTGGCATGGTGTAATACCTGGGAGAGTGCGCTAATTGGGCGGTCTTGGGCTTCAAAATTATTTTATATACAAAGACGTTGCTGTTAGATCTTGAATATTGAATTTTTTTAAAATGAATAATAATATTCGAAACAAATTACAATATCTTTTTCGATTATCTGGGGACTGCACAACCCTGCAACCTAATCACGAGCCGTCACCGATTGAATCTTTCTAACCGTCTAATGTAATGTGATGGGTCCCGCGGGTCCCCGTCCAGCTGATTGGAAATGCGCGTTAAACTAACAACATTCAATTTTGTTCATGCTTTTCTTTCTGGATCTATGGAAAACCTAAAGATTAAATTTAGATAATTCTTGCTGCTACAATTTATAGCACTACATGCATTTCCGTATGTTAACATTTTTAATCGTGCATCAAGAAATGCAGGACGCAAATGTGAACACAATTTGGCAAGTGAGCAAAAGATAATAAATAATATGCATTGATTCAACTCTCGGCATCAAAATTGTTCCACGTACCATCACCAGTGCCGCAAATACCATTCACCTAAACAGGCTATGGCTTGGGGCGTCAGATTCCAACAATTACTTACCGCGAAGAAAGAATTAAAGAAATTTGATAAACATGCTATTGGAGTTAAAAACTGATTTATTATAAGAGCGGCGCTTTCGTTCTCATGTATTACGTTTTGCACGTTTCCCGTGCGTATCAAAATCCGCCACGTTAGCAGCCGGCACAGCGTTCAGATTGAAAATGTCTCTTCATATGCCCGCCATATGGCGCATTCAATCAAGTTTGAGTGTCACGTTGAGGTTGCCTTTCGAATAATTTTAGCTTTAACGATTACAAATTGTACGGGTAACATCATTTAGTAAACTTAAAACGGGTTAAAAACTAGTATTGACCTACTATAGGACAAGACAAACTCAATTCACTAACAATAATGCTGTCATAATGATATGTTATGAGGTTTTATTTTTCGACGCTACTATTTCTGATTTCAACAAAAAATCGCGTAAACGGCATTTGTGATCGTTGTATTGTTTTTATTAATTAATAATGTTGAATTATATTGCAGGTAGTTTACCATATACTTATCATCCTTTGGTTGACTTTCAATTTTAAATGTTAAATTTCAATACAATTTTTATTGGAAGGAATATTCAAATTGTTTAATTAATTTCGTGTAAAAGTGTTATCTCTAATCTCAAACGTGTTATAGTCAGCAAAGGCGGGAGAGTGGGGGTTAAAATACTTTAGGTTGGAGCTTGGAAAGTAGTAAATTCGTCGCCGCTGATCGTCTCGTAAACCACGTGTAATGAACTTGCAATTATGTCTGCCGCACCTCAACCAACTGGTTCTGCCTCGTGCTCGCCTCTGGGAGTCGCAAGATGACAAAATCAGAGAAGCTTCGCAACTGTTATACTAAACTGTACTTTTACCACGTAAAATAGAAATCTCTTATAAAAACGCAACGAAAAAATAGTTTAAAAAAAAATACAAACTAATGACCAAAATAAAATGAAGTGACATTAACCACATCGATCACATCTAGAATAATGATATATACTTTCTTTAATGTCATTATATGCGCATTGAACGGAATTATGAGCGTTATGAGAGCGCACTTCCAAACGACTTTCGAGATCTCGCCCACGAGAAGAGCTTTTTAGTTCACTTTGAACGGATGTGAAAACGCACTATGTAAACATGTTTTCGTATTAACGGAAATTCCATGAAGAATTCTGTTCACTTTTAAGTGCAACGTGATGCAAGAATGTAAGTGGAAATGGGTGTTTTGCACTTCTGGCTAGCTTTTCTGGCTTTTCTCCCAGTGTGTTCTGAAAGACCTCATGAGCTTCTTCCAAGCACTATTGAGGTGATCATTGCTTTTCTCTCGTTCGGGATACCTTCGCCTGGCCACGTACGAATCGCAGAGCACAGAGCGCAGAGTAAAAATAATACTTCCCTACCACCTAAGCCAAAAATTAAAATTTCTCTTACATCAAAATGATTTTGCATATTCACAGACGAGGTTTACCATCGCATGCTTTGCTTAAGAGCAGTCAGAGGTTCTGACTGCAAAGACGAATTGAAAACTAGCATTTACCTCCTCCGTGGAGATCAGGGAGGAGATGAGCAGTGTGTCTGAATGGTTGCGCTCGCGGGCTCGGCTTGTAGAGTCACGTAGCGATGAAATGACAGATCTAAATATCGCAGATGGCACTTTACTCGACTTTCTTTAACACCAGTTAGTGAGTTATACAAACAATATACTTCAGTGAATGGCAAATATTCCACTCCACGGTTGAAATTTCCAGTGTTTTGGTACGAGCTCTTCGCGGGACTTGGTGAATGTTTCGCCTCCCAAGCAGCCGCCTCGCCCGCCCGCCGGGGACCACAGCGCCACACCCCGAAATTCTTCTCTCAACATCCACTCGCCCTTCAAACAGACGACCAAGAAATACCTGGCGCCAAATGACGTACCTGCTTATGCAGGTTATACGGAATAGTCTCTTGAAGAGGAATATCATACCGCACATCTTACATTGCCTGCTTCAGACTTAAAACAATTCTGAGACTATTCCAGGACTGCAAACGATTCAAAGGCTAGAACAATTCTATCACACTTCATACGAAAGGTTTGCACTACCAATGCATTTTCTCACACCGGGATGGTCCACATCATTCCACATAATTCAGCACTTTGGCCTGATAACTCTCGGACAAATAGCAAAATCCAAATTTTTATTCTGACAATCCTTTGTTTACAATTTCCTTCACAGCTCTTTGCACCATTACATACTTGCCAAGTGTTTTTATGCTGACACCCACATTACTGTTGCATCACCAACTCAAAAGTTGTACATAGGATTGCAGCACAGAGCTGCCATAAAAAAACACAATATTTTTCCTTTACTGAAATACACTGAGTACTTCACACTTCAAATCTGTAGAATTCAACATTCAAATCTCTCTATTTTTTTAAATACCAAAACGAACACCTTTTAAATCTTTAGAATGTTAAAGAAATGGAAAGAAAAATGAAAACTACGTAAATACATTTATGTACGCAAGATAAATAATTTCTAGCCACACCTTGAATCTCCTTGGTCCTGTGTAGTCCACAAGCGAACAGATCCATCACTGCTACAAGAAGAGAGATACTCATTAGTTTTATCCCATGCAAGGGATAGAACAGAACCCGTATGTCCTGCAAATTCTTTATAAAGCTTCCCAGCGGCAAGATCCCAAATTTTAATTCTGTCCTCATCTGAAAAAGAAATATCAATCAGGCCCACTTCCCACATTCCACCATTTAAATCACTCGTACCCATAATACAATACAGAATAAATGCGTGTTTTCTGTTTTTGTACAAAAATCTATTTCACAGCTTTGTAGCTAGACATCTAACCCGACAGGTGCAGAAATTAAGGCAGTGAAGACTACGACCTTATATGAAGAAATGTTTTATTTTAGAGTATTAAGGCCAGATCGATAAAAAACCCACTTCTCGATGCATTCATTATATACATTATACATTAAACAGCGTAGGTTAATTTTGATTCACTTCACATATTACAGAAATTCGATGGTCACTCGTTTGCTGGAACGAAGGTCCCCGACTTTTCCAACATTATTTAACTAGTTGAATAAACCGGCGTCATAAAACTAGTTCAATAAACACTACAAACAGGCGTCGCCGACGCTAAAACATGTTTTAAAAATATATTCAAATGTTGAAAATGTCTACTATGAAAGTTCTAATAAAAAGAAAATTTAACCATACTTACACGTAATCTTCCGCGGCTCGAGTTCATGACTTCTTGGCTGTCCGGGCGACGCCGCGTCGTTGGCTGAGAGGACGACGTGGCGTCACACGGACAGCTAAAAAGTCTTTAACTATTCTTGTTTCATTCTTTCATTCTTGAGCGTAGTATGTAAACTAGTGGTGATGCAAATGATACAGACATTCCCGTAATAGTTTTATATTTCCTTTGGTCTCGGCTAGCTACGTACTCTTGCCAGCTGTCCTCTATCTCCGCCCAAACTATTTTTTTGGCATTTTCGTAATTTTGAAGCCATTTATAATTAACTGGCGTTTAAGCGCTACTGTAAATTCGAAATTTGAACCTCTTTTGAACAGAAAAGTTTCGAGTTTTCGCAAATTTTCACTTGAAGTCATTTTAAGTAATATCACAAATACAATAGTGTTTACAAATTGCTGGAAATGTGCATATCAACGACGTGATATCTTTCAAATTTGGAAGATTCAAGAAATTTGTGAAATTTTTGAAGAAAATAAATGCACCGAAATGAACTTTAGGACGTATTAAGAAGTGGAATTAGCACCATCAGTTCGAAATGTTTGAAGAAAAAAAATTTGAAACCGATTTTGAGAAAATAGCGTTTGAGTGTTTCTGAAAATGCGGAAATTTGAGCTAGTTTCCACAGGAAACATAGTTTTTGAGAAACTTTATATGGCATTATTTAAAACACATATATTCATAAATACAATAATGAGAACAAATTGCCGCTAATATAAATAGCAACGAGATTTCTGTAATTTATGAAAAAAACAACACGAAAGAATAGAGCAATATGGCGTCTATGTCATCTGAGTACATTTAGCACTATATCTACCATAAGGTTGCAGAAAAATGTGGAGCAGTTTTGGAGAAAATTTTGTTTTCGTAATTTTTTAAAAACTATACATATTGCACGCAATATTGTGCGAAGACTATGAAAATTTTCAAAAAATGTACACGACCTTAATGAAAGAACTTACTATTGAGATCAAATTTTGTTTGAAGGAAAAAGGGAAAGACACCAAAATATTAATACTTTTGAAATTTTCGAAAATTTAGAGTAAACCGTGAAAATTGGATCTCGTATATAAGTAAATCGCCACGTTTATAAGTGTATGTTACTCTATCCTTACAAGAAATTTAAAGAAAAAAATTGGAACAGTTTTTGAGAAAATTTTGAAAATGTCCAGAGAGCTACATGTGACGTACACCCAAATTTTGAAGAATGCGTTTCAAAATTTCGAAGTTTCAACTTGAGCCAAATGGACGGGGGGTTCTTCAATATGGAAATATCCTACGCATGGTTTAGGCGTTAGTAGTGTTCACTGACACTACACGGACGGACGGGACTTCGTTCATAAATTAAGGTAATACTAATCAAAGATTTGTTAATTTTTTTCTCAATTCCGAATTTTGTTAGGATTACTCGAAATTTGGGTTTGGGAGGTTTGGTTAAGCGGGATTCAACTGGAATACAAAGACTAGGTAAATATACGTAAGTATACGCAAATACAAATGTGAAATTACAATTCTTTTTGATCGAGGTTCTTTCGCGCTGCGGCCACTTCCCACCCTAAGCACGCTCACAGAACAGTTGTTCTGAAGACTACGAGTAATGTACATGCTTTCAATTCATTACCAGGCGGCTTATTAAATAAAATTTGTACATTTCTTCTTCTAGATTTATATTAGAATATAATTTTGTAGATGAAATTCTAGTAGAAAAGGGGATCATCCCATTAGCGTTTCCGTGCAAGCTACGATTAACAAAAATTATCCTTAAGAACAATAATTCTCCTACAGAGAGGGAACGTTCACGAAGAACATTTTCCTGCACCGCACACTGTACACAGTGGGCGCCGCCTCATTTGCATTCCATTTCGCTGCGATCACAGCTGCTCCCGATGGCGCTCGCCTTCCACCAAGCAGTTCCGGGTTCGATTCTCGGCGAATCTGTGCAACCCTTCACCTGGCCCAGTGCTGGCGACCGCTGCGTTGTGACGCACGAGCCGGACGCCAGGTGCTACCAGAGCGGCCCTCTTGCCAACCGAAAGTGACGACAATGGACAAATTCAAACAAAAACCCTTGGAGGGTTTAGAGACGCGCTTATCTGGTGGGCAGGAACGGGTCTAACCGTGACGGACGGACATGCAAGCTACTCAAATACGAAATGCGGATTTTCCCCTGAGAAAATTGTAAAGTACTTTACAATTTTACGTCCTTTAAACGTTCTTAAGAAATAATTGTCTCGCAAATATTCGAGGCAAAGATATTCCGAAAAATTTTCCAGACCGATCTCAGACAACTTCAATTCAATTCTTTGGCAGGCCATTTCATCTGTAACAAATTTGATGGGCAATGTACACTTCAGAACAAAAAGAGTCTTCGAAAAAGGTTCAGTACATCAACTTGAGGCCATGCAGGGCCGCTGCAAGGTAATTGGCGCTTTGGTGCAAATTTTTTGTTTGCAAGATTTTGAATTTTGTTTCGCGAGAGGGCGGTGGAGGGGGCTGCGCTCATGTGTTTAGCGGGACAGACCCTTTCCCGACCGCCGTCAGGGGACGGGGAGTCAACTGTAGGATGATTATGACACGAGCGGCCAGCGGACCCAAGGCACCCTCTCCCCTTCCTTTCCTACTTGCAATAGGAGCCCTTTCCACAGCAGCGGCCCATACGCACGCTGAAAAGAGACAGGCGGATCAAAATGATGGCTACTTCTGGAAATCAGCAATCATCCGGAACGATTCCAGCGGCCAGCGCGCGAGCCCGTACAAATCTCAATCAACGCGTCTTAGCGCACCGCAACAGACACGCGCAAGTGCCCTCCCAGGGCGAGAGGGCGAAGCGCGCAGTTGCTCAATACGAAATCACGTTAGAATTACAAAAAGAAACAGCGACCACTATTGGATGAGAACGAGAGAGGGCGGAGTCGAAATTTGCGTAGATGGAAGGGGATTCTGCAGCCGAGCACGTAAGGAGTGATCGCATTACGAAGGGACGAAAGACAGACTTTGTCGAGAGCTGACGCGAGAGAATTACTAGGCTTCGCGAAGAGCGGAAATTATAGAGACTTGTTAAATTTCGCGAAGACCAAACGCATGAGAATTCAATGAACCTTACCCGGAGCTGATGTGCGATGGAGTACCTGTTTAAAGCAGCTACGAGTGAGAAATACCGGTGTGTCCCCTCGAAAGACGGTTCATTTCGCACTATTAATGATTCAGCCTCAAGTCGAGGTGAATAGACACATCTCGAACCACTGTGAGAGAGGACTATACCAAAACTGGTGTGTGGGTGGCGGAACCAATACCAGCTACGGGTTGGGGCCTGAGCACCTTGACAACTGGTCAACGCAGTGGAGGCGCCACCAGGCGACGGTCGGCAGGGCTGTCCTCTCCAAGCTCTCAACCAAGGCCAACGCTCGAGTCCATGTCTGGACAAAGTAAGACTTCACGGATGCAAATGGTACGTGAAAACAAAGATTCTCATAGGATTAACCGGATTCAAGAAACAAGAGGAATTAGTAATGTCATGTAGTAGTTAGTAACAATAATAATTTGTGATTAAGAAAATTTCGGCTCAATTAATTATCCAAATTTCTAATTAACTTTGTAAATGACCCAAGTTAAAATCAATAACGACTATCGTTTAAAACAAATAATTTCCTACAAACTTCCATTTCCCAGCATGTGTGTAATTATTTTCAAAAAATAAAAGAAAAGGAGTAAATGATTAGAGTGTGAGCGTGAACGAGTCAAGGAGAGCGGCCGGGCAGCCCTCATAATTGGCAAGGCACGCTTTCAAAAAACAGAGGGTTAAGAAATGGGGAACGAACCCACCTGATAGTAGTTTCGCGGTCTGGGCAAGCGAGGCCCGCGGGACCCATCACATTACATTACATTGATTTTACTTTGTTTATTCAGAATTTATTTACAATATATACATACTTTCGTACTTACACACACGCACCCCCCACCAACTAAATCCTAATATCCATAACATTCCTATTCAATTTATTGTACTAGGAGTTGTTTCGTGAAATTCATGTTTTACAAATTCTTTGGTTATGTCGTATAGGCCAATCGTGTTACCTGCAAATAACTTTTTGTATTGAAATGATTAAAGCAGGAAAGATTTTCTAATTTATTATAGTCTATCTTTAATATTTTTTTATACCTTTAATATAGAAAACTACTTTCCTGCACTTGCTACTGCCATTATTTGTGTAAGTAATATTCTCAACACTGCTGATGCGTAGGGTAAAGTTCCTATAAAAGTTTTGTGATAGTACAGTGTATTATAAAACTCTGGTTTCGGGGAAATTCAATCATTTAAGAAATCTAATAAAATTGAAAATTCATTAGAAAGATGTACTGTGTGTACCACCCTTCATCTTCGGTGCCAGTCAACTTAAAATTGTAGATCCATGCAATGTTTTAAGAAATTATTTTTATATTTGCTAGTGTCATGAAATCATTTGAAAGCTTACGAATCCACCAATTGAAAATATCTGACGTACCTGCTTCAGCAGAATGTATAGGTATAGAATGTATGAACAATTTTCATAATTAATGTATAACAATAGAAAATTATTATAAATTCGTACCAAAACACTTTCTTCAACTGCCCTAAAAATTAAAGAAAGTACTTCATGTTACATTTCAAGGAAGGAAAAGGAAAGGTTTTGGAAAAAGGAAAGAGAAGGAAACAGAAAAGGGAAGGCAAAGGAAAAGAAACTAGTAGAGCTACATAATGGCAGAGACTTTCTCATACTAGTGAGTTTTCTAATTCCGTTGGTCTGGGCAAGCTTTTCAGTTTTGCCTCTCTTGCCAGCTGCCAATTACATTTTGTTGCCAAAGTACATTTTAAAAATTTTCTCTATATACTTCTTTTGGTTTTCGTAGAATGGATATATAACTTGAAAAATATTAAAGCTGAGTAAAATTGTGTCCTGTTGGGAAATTTTTGTTGAACAAAATTGGAGGCGTTTTTAAGAAAATGTTTAAGAGTTGTTGTAAATGAAAAATTTGAGGCACTTTTTCACAGAAAACAGTTTTTGAGAAACTTCATTTGAAGTCATTCAAAGCACTTCCACTCACAAATGCAATGATGCATACAAACTGCGGAAAACGTGTATATTAACGGCGTGAAAGACATTTTTAAAAAAAATTACATTTGCGTAATTTTTGAAAAAAAAAAA